TTTAATCTAGCACAAATACGAATGATATTGAATCCTTCATTACAAAAGATGAAATGATTTTCTGAAAATATTGCACCCTGCGGTGTCAGCCCAATGATAAAATAATAATAATAATGTAATATTAATTGTATGTTCGTACTTTTGATACATTTACGCTTTCAAATATTAACTCATTTTACTGATATATACATATATATTTATGAATTTAATGTTTTAAAATTTTTTATATATTTATTTCAATAATTTTATATTTTTGAAAATATTTTGTGCTCTTTTATTCATTTTATTTTTACATATTGTTAACCCTTAATCGTGTGAAATTTTATACCGTTTATTCATTTAAATTTTGAAGAGTTCTCAAATTTTGTTTTATAAATTAAAAAAAAATTAAAAATACATATTTTAATAGAAAGAAAATACATATTTTAACAGAACATAAAATATGGTGCAAAGGTGAGGAAAAAGTCATAGAAAAATGAGAAGCCCAGATTTGATATTTTAAAACATCAATTTAAATAACCAATAATTCATTCACACATACAACATGTGGTATATATCTCCTTTAATATTAAAAATTAAAACTTATAAATCATGCATATAAAAAGTGTGTATCCTTGTTGCTTCTGCTTTTCTTTTTATTATTCCCTTATACTCCGCTGCATATACACGTTACAGGCCTATGGGTACAGACGGTACAGGTAAAGAAAATCATGGGTCGTCAGCTTTTCTTTATTATTATCGATTTCGGACCAACAGCAGCGTCGTATTGAGCATTGGTTTGGCTCGCCAAGAAATAATGTACGGATATTTCGATTCCTCTTGAGCAAATCGAAAAACGTAAGAGCTTGAGTCGAGACTTTCATGGGATAAGTATACGGGCGTGAGAAGATCATTTTCGCGTAATATTATCTAGTCTTACGCGAGACGAAAAAGAATTCTTTCGTGTTTTCTTCCCAAGGGAAAAAAATAAGTAAATCGAAAGAAACTCGGTCTTGTGAATAAAATAAAATAAAATATTACTATTAGAATTTAAACTAAAATTTTGTAATAAAATATTGTTTTCTAAACTATTTTATTCCAAAAATATTAGCATTGTTTAAAGAATAAAGTAAAATTAAATAAATAATTGATCAATTATTCAAATAATTAATCTATTAATTAGATAAAAATTATAATAAAAATTTAATAATAAAAATTGTAGCTGTAATATTTTTTTAATAATTGTGATAATTTTAAATAGTCAAACTAATTTTACTTATAAAAAATTTAAATAATTTTATGACTATTAAATACTAATATTTGTCATTCTATATATTTATCATTAATATTTTTATCATTAATGTTGAGTTTATAGCTTATTTCAAATCATTAGTTACTTATGATTAAATAGATAAAAATATAAAACATTGAAAAATAATTCAAGCACTATGAAAAGCTAATGCGACTCTGATTTTAAAGCTTAAGAATTCATAGTTTCTTAAATGAACTTTTTATCAATTTTTTCTGATTTGTCCATTTTTCACAAAGTCTTTCCTGTCAGGTTTTGTGTGTATGTATATTTCTAGGAAAATTCAAAATAAAAACGAAAGGGCTGAAGAGATCTATTTTTCAATCGACATGACGTAATTTGACATATTGTGTATCCATAACAGGCTAAGACACGCAATAATAACTCTTACGAAAAATTCCTATCGTATCAAGCTTCAGATTATTTCGGTACCTGAGATAATCAGATAATGATTAATAAAAAGAACAAATATTGTAAAAAGATATGTCTAATATTTTCGTAAAATGCAAATATCGATACCATAGATTGCAATCTCGTTTTGATAAAAAAATGTTATAGCAATAATTTTATTACCTATCAACGCGTCTGCAAAGATTACTTTTCGAAATTTATTTTCTCAACTTAGGTACTTCATATATATATATATCGAATACAAAAGAAACGGCATAGATTTATTATCGCGCGATGCTTGAACGATGTTTATAGAAATGGAAAGTAAGAAACACGGTGGAATTTCTGACGAGGCTCGATTGTGCAGCCTTTTTTTCCTTGAATTTATTCTTCTTTTACTCGATACTGTTGCACTCATTCACGTCTAATTGGACTCTCATCATTCTTGTCTCAGTATATATTCCTCGATACAATATAATACAACCATAATAGCAATGATCGCAATAATAATGGTAATAATTATTAATTAATAATATTAATAATAATAGTAATATAATAAAAATCACCATTGTCTCCACCATCGTCGTCGTCGTTTCACTATAATGTATTTATAATATTTATACCGTGTGGTGTGTGAATTCATACAATTACATCATCGTATCGCCGCAAGTATAAGTATATAATTACAATCACTTATTAATATTCACAACTTAATAATCGTTCACCACTGTTTTCCTCTTTTTTTCTCATTTTGTTCTAGAAACAATACGCAATTATTGTGTTTGCCCCGTTCTGTCGTTCGTCTATCGTTCACGATCATCAATTATTAATCATTATTATTGTTGCTGCTTAATTGTATATACAGAAGAGGTATATATTCAATAATATTAATAGTATTAGTATTTATAATAATTTAAGTTTACGCTTCACACGTGACTACTGTATGTGTCTGTGTTTGTATGTGTATGTGTATGTTGGTGTTTTTCTTGAAAAAAAAAACTCTTCTTACTTCCATTGTCTTTCTCTTTCCGCTGTCTTCCTTCTGCTTTATTTTCCCGTTCCTTATACAAAGCCAAATGTATTTTTGAGAGCCTTTATCACAAGAGTAAAACTTTCCGGTGAGATTTTTTTGTCACGAACTTGTTATACGTTAGAAAATTATTTTCTTGAAAATTGCTCTCGTGCAAAATATCAAATATTCGTTAAAAGATTCAAATTGTTATATTAAAAATGATTCTCTTAAATTAAGCCTATCCAATTTGAACTCCGGAGCCAAAACGCAAAGCCAACGACGCAAAAAAATTCAATGTGAGTAAGAATTTGGGGACTGTAAAGTGTTGATAAGCGTCATTCATTGTCAAATGCGTACGAACACTTTACAACCCCCAAAAAGTTACACTGTTTCTTTTGCGTCGATGGCTTTGCGTTTTAGCTCCGGAGCTCAAATTGGACAGGACTGTCTTAATATCTAAAACAAACCTCAAAAACCCTTAAATTTTTTAGATAAGAGAGCTTTACTTTATGTCAAAATTAGAGAAAATAAAATCTCCGCTCTCAGAGAAGTAAAATATTTCAATCCAGTGAAACTCTCAAACGGTAAAATTCGCGAATACATCGGGCTTTATAAAGTCTTCGTCTACAAAAACGAATCCAATGCCTGCCGGATTTTCAATACTCCGATAGAAGATCTTTAACGAAGAAACGGGCGATCACCGACGTCAGGATTTCTAGATATCGATCATTTCAATCTATTTTTGTAAATAATCCGCCAACGTCGATTTTCGCCGAGGACGAGGCCGGAGTCGAATAAAAGACTCCAAAAGAAAGTACATTATTGCTCAGGCGATTGGTTCTCTCCCCTATCGGCAGGGAAGAATCACCGGGAGCATCGATCGGCAGGCGTTTTGGTGAATCGGCATCGTTCGATCAAAAATCAAAACCGATCAATAATCGACTAATTGCTCGCTTGTGAAGCCCGAAATCCGATGCCAGTAAGACAAACATGAAAAGATAACTCTTGCAACGTGCGCAACGAGTCTTGATATTTCAACTCGATAAAAATTCTTCGTAAACTAACGGAAGGGGAATTTCCGGTCAGAAAGAAGCTCAAAAATTTTTGCGTCTCACGTGGCATCGAAAAAAAAATCAATACTTGTCGAACGTACGCCGATCGATTTCCGATTTCCTACGTTTTGAACGCGCGAAACGAGAGAATCGCTCTTTGGAGGAAGAGCGCTTTTACTCGCCTATGGCGACACCGAAAGTGCCGGACTCGCGACGGAATTCCACCGTCGGCGTTTCCAGCGCTACGTTTTTTTTCTACATACGAAAGAACGGGCTTGATAACTACCTAAGAGATATAGCCTAAGTGATAACGTAGAATGCTATTCGGTATTTGTGTATATCCCTGTTCTGTGTTTGTATGTTCTCTCTCTCTCTCTCTCTCTCTCTCTCTCTCTCTCTTTCTCTCTTTATTTCACTCTTTCTCTCTCTAACTTACTCTCTCACTTGTGTCCTAAGGATTAATTTTCTTTTATAAACTAAGACGTCGCCTATGCGCGATATCTATCTCATCGCTAATTGTAAGTTTAGCAACATGGACATTATTATTTTGTTTTTCTTTATCAACCTCTCACTTTCTCCTTCCTACGCCCCATTCCACCCTCCATTTCCCCATCCAAGTTCCGCTTTGTCGTTCAAAATATTTCATTTTTTATTTCGTATTAATTGTCCCCTTTATCGCGCTAAGAAAAAAGATTATCATTTATATCACACGCGCACACACACACGCACACATACACACATGCATACACATACATAAACACTTCTCTTGTTTTCAACCAATTTATTAATTAATTGTTAATTATAGTCGTCCTTGTGTTAATGAGTGTTTCTGCCAAGTATCTCCTGTCTTTTCTCTCTCTTTTCTCATATATACTTTAGATTCTAAATGTATGTATACAATGTACGAATCAAAATTTTCCCTGGTTTCGGAAGTGATTTCGGCGGCTGCTAAGACATTGACGGGATCATCGCGAATTAAGGACTCGATCCTGCTTCACGAAACGTGCAATACGGTCGCGGTATCCTCGAATGATATTGAAACGAGGCCGAAAGCGAGAAGAGACAAGAATCAGAAACAAAATTGCTCTCAGTAAAAAAAACCGTAAAAATTAATCGCAATCGATTTGAAAGAAAACAATGGGATAAAATTGAAAAATAAAAGAAAAGCCGAAGAATTAAAGGTAAGTTTAGAGAAATACTATCATCGCGTCGTGCACCGATAAATTTATTGTTTATTAAAATCCGATCTTTGAAAACATTACTTTAAAAGAGCGAGAAAACTTCAGAAAGTTTTTATTTGTTTCACAGATATAAAATATTTACGATGAAATAAGAGAAATTCGTCAAGAGAGAAGAGAATAGTATCTTTTTTGCTATTAAAATAACGTCTACTTTCTTCGTCTACTTTTATCAGTCCCTATCCTTGTCTCCTGTCGTCTTTTGGTCTCAAGTGTTCCAACAAATATGATTTCTCTCCAAGGTGTCAAGAAGGCACGTGACTGAAAGATACCTGCTATTCTCTACAGTCATTTCCTCTCGCTTCGGTTGGCGCCGATCGCCTCTGTTTCTTCCTCTTTTTTTTCTTTGCCACCGATATTGCGCGTTCCTAGCGCATTCACCGGATTATAACAATCGTCGTATACAGTCATGTTCTAAATATTGAGAATAGTGAGTTAAAATAAGTTCCGAGCCGACTGATCGCGATTGATCGCGGCTACCTGAAGAGACGCCGGGGAATCCCCATCGTAGCGCGGCTTTTTTTTTTAACGAGACACACCGGGCGGATACATCCCTCTCTTCCCTTTTCTCCTTTCACCTCTTTACACGACTCTGCAAATAGTATCCTTTACTCTTCTTTTTATTTTTATTATTATCCATTACTATTTATTATGTTTACTCATTATATCGTTACTCGCTATCGTTTATTATCCTTGCTACTACGTTTGCTTTAACTATGGAAACGAGAAGAAGTGTGGTACGAGCTGCCACAACTACGGTATGTACGTATGTGTATCTATATCTGTGTGTGTGCGCATGTATGTGTGTCTGTGTGGATGTGTATTTTCATGTCTGATTGCTACGTGTGTACACACACACACAGAACGTTGATCGAGGACGATGTCCTCCGGTGTGATCCAGGTCGCGCCACCTCCACCCCCCATCATTCACTTGATAAAAGTTTCCGAAACCGGGCAAATGTTAATTATCACTTCGCTTTTTCGCTTGCTCTCTCTCTCTCTCTCTCTCTCTCTCTCTCTCTCTCTCTCTCTCTCTCTCTTTTTATGGCGTATATCCAAAAATCTTTAGAAATTCTGTCTTGGTACAAATATCGCGGGGAGAGATTATCGTAGCGAATATTACAAAATTCTTACACAGTTTTTCTCCCTCTCTTTCTCTCTTTTTCTTTATCTTTCTCGTATCGCAGACGGGAAAGAAACGTCGCAAGCGATTTAGCGATCCTCGAAAGTGATTTAAAAGATTGTGCTGGCTCACAAGAAGGAGCTGGACGAAATTTCATCAGGAATCACATAGTTTACCGAGTTTTCCTTCAGCGCGCTTACTGTGCGAAGAAAAAGGCTTTTTGCAACTTGTAAAATGGAAAAATAGTTGTATCTCTTTCTCTCTCTCTCGCGCGCTCTCTCCCTTTCTCTCATCTCACATTCTCACCCTCAACCGCGCTTCGTCTCCGCTTTTTGGAACAGTTACAACTTTTTTCTGAGTTTTTTCTTGCATTTTTTCCTTTCTTGTTTTTTTTTTCGCTTAAGTTCGACGAGAATCACCCTGTGAGTACACGCACGAAGGGCCGCAGAAGTTACCCTGTGTGCAAGTGCTAAATGCCCAAGAGATATAATCTGGGTACGCTTTTTTTTAACTGCTAAGTATCGTCCGCTGATTAAATATAATTGACTTTACTTAACGTGCGTGGTGATGGCGAGGGCCGTAAAATATATCTCTTATGCGTCACGCATTCGTTTTCGGGATGACGTGCGCGACAAATTTGCAAAGTGGCAAGGCGGAGAAGGTATAGCTAAACATCAAAAATGCCACTTTAGAAAAAGAAGAAAAATTGGCAAATTTCAGACAGATGTAAATTATCATTTCAGGAAATTGCTCTAGGAAAAAAATAGTTATTATTCAGAAATATGTCGTTTGAGATATTAGATAAATATAATTTCCTCCTGAAAGGTTGTCTTTAACAGACAACCCAAAAATTTTGAATTTATTGTCTAATTAGAATCTTGTATTCAATCTTCAATTACGAAGATTGAAGAAACATAATTACATAGAATAATCCTTTTAATTAACTTATTTTTTACGGGATTAACACCTAGAACGCCGGGAAGATTGTTGCGTTCATTTTAATCTTAGTTCATTTTAATCGCATTACTTTCGATGAAGTGTCATTGCAAAATACAACAGATATATCTGTAGATATACGCTTTTGACGAATTAGGCGCGTAGGGTAAAAAATAGCGTGGCGAAAGAATGCCAAAATGTTCTAATTTTTTTTCTTAATTTCGTAATAAAGAAGCTCGTTCATAATACATACGTATGCAATGGGACATGTATACAGTTTTAATATGTAAAAGAAATACGTTGATGAAAAGGGATATTCGTCGCGGATCTGCAGCGCGACGACAACTAGCTGAATTTGTAAAGATTTTTGGCGCACTACTCTCCGCTTCCGTACACGCGCAGAATCGAGACCGCTTATTTGTAGCTCATAATTTCATAATTTTAACCATGTGTGTGCGATACAATTACGTGTAATTAGCAGTATCATCATTAGACTTTTTATTATAATTAGTGTTACAAAAGCTTGATTATATTTGGATCGGACTGTAGCAATATATTCACATAACTATCGTCGTGGAAAATAAAAATTTAACGTTTACATTATACAATTATTCTTCATCATCATTCGAGTCGCTATTTATTTGTAAGTTCTCCTCGTCGATTCACGTAATAAATACAATTGTTTATATACTTACCATCGTTATCATTATCATCATTATCATCATCATCATCATCATCATTATCATCATCATCATCATCATCAGCATTATCGGCTCTCTCAACCCAATTCACCCTCGTCTATTATATATCGTTTCACGATATTCTAATCAAGAAGTGTTTCCTTCTTTATGTCATATTCTCCTATATAATAATACAAATCACACGATCTATTAAAAAAAAAAAAAAAATTAAAAATTAGTAAACATTCGACAAAGATCCATATCTTCGCAAAATAAACTAAGCGAAAACTGTCCCTTTTCGCCGCTTTTTATGCGCGATCGATTGTAGTTTTATTCCACCGATTATTGCGTCGATTTAACCGAATTCTCTCTCGGTTATTTCGTCGATTGTAAAATACTAAGCACCGTGAGTTCATCGCGCGACACGTTGTACGCGAGATTGCACGAGAAAGGGAGTAGTATCGTTTATCGCACTACTATTCGGGCACTACTAAAGGTATAATCGGTAATCGTGGGACCGCAGTGTCCCCGACATTATTACGCAGAGATCGATCGTTGTGGCATTGCACTACTTCATCCTCTTTCTTTTTCTTCCTATCGACTCATTAAAATTAATCAGCGTTCGCCAATTGTTCTTACGACTACGAGACTACTAATATGAAGTATCATGAATCGCGTATCTACTAGCACTGATAACGACCGAGACGAAAGCACACAGAGCGGAGATGCGAAGTATCCGAACGAAAGGTACACGCTTACGAAAAAAAATCAGTACCGCGCGAGATCGTGCGGACACTCTCGTTCGCACACAGCACTAAATTCACAATAATCATCAATTATTATGTACAAAAAATCCTATGTCTCATCGATCGCGTCTCTTTCCTTTCGCGATACGAATGGTTTCGAGACTCGACGTGTAGCGCGTCATTTCTTCTATTTTTCTTGCGCCTCACACGCTTCATTGCATTGCGCGGCATGCATATGTCGTACGGAGCCACATGAATTAAATATTAACAAATATATCTAACTTATATACCCTCGCGACATCCAGCGACTTAATGAAACAAAATTCTAAGGATAGCCTCGTCCTGGTGATCGCCCGCTACACCCGCGAGACGAAGATCGAGCGGTTATAAGCTCTGTGGTAAATTTTCCCTTATCTTCTTACTCTGATATCTTTGTGCCCCATACTCTGAAAGAGCGTGGATGGTCGCGTTAAAAAGTTACATTCAGAATTGTGTGTTCCCATATGTGCTTAACAATGATACGAAAAATATATATATATTATATGTTGTCCGCGCGCAAAAGATAAACGCGCTCGACCGATTTTTTCGGAAGTTGTAACGGGCGATCGATCACTTAATCCTCCGGAAGTTAAAGGAACGATCACATCCAGTTTCCGACTTGTATAATCTTAAAACGACCATCACAGGAATATGGTATTTCTATATCGTTTCTCTTTCGCGTCGACTTTATTGCTATAAAATGCACGTCAAATATCGTTCATGATTACAAGACGATCAAAAAGTATGAACTTTCGACATCCGCTTTCAGATTGCACAGCGAATAAACCGTTGTACAAAAGAAAGGTCAAGTAGTTGCGAATCGAGATAGAAATATCTTTCCGTGGATCGAAACAACGATTTAGGGGTTCCCGGAGGAGGTGTTCGGAGATTTCACGTTAATTAAGGAAACGAATAAACTGAGGGGAAGAGAGAAGAAGCTCGTCCAACAACCAGGCTGGCAGTAGTTGAGGAGACGACAACGCGTGACACGATAATTTCTCCTTCATCCATCGCTTTCTCTCTAGTTCTCTTCTCCGTAAAGTTACCCTCCGATCCTGAAATTCTCCCGCGATCCTTACTGACCTCCATTGCTTTGGTAAAGCACAAAGAAAGAGACGAAGGTGTCTTGAGTGTTCGGTGGCACCTGTCAAAATGCCATATAGCGGTCACGAGTTTCGCTTCTGCAGGAGCGTTTACTCAGATCACTTAGATCGTTCCAAGAGAGAGAAGATCGAACGGAGGAATTATTAATTGATCATCTTCGACTAGTTTCGTCACTTGATCACATGTGCTGCCAAAAAACTACAATTTGTCCCCTTATGACACTCGATAGAGTATCCTTCTTCCCTTTTCATATTTTTTCGCTTATGTTTCTTGTCTTCCCAAAGGACAGGAAGATAGGTTCGTGGACGTGGATTTAGCTTCTTTCTTTTCTTCATTCTTTTCATCCCTTTCTTTCTCCGGTTTCCGCTCCCTCTCTCGCTACGACGCTCCGGCGATATCCAGGCGGTAGGTAAGACTATTCGGATGCTTCCTCGACGAGAAGGGAACCGTGGATGGGCTGCTGCTCTGCGGTATCTACCGACTCCCAGCGCTTTCTGACGATTGAGCAACCGCCGCAGGATTGTGGCTTGTTTCGTATTCCATCACCTCCTGATAGATCAGCTCTTTCCACTGATCCACCGTGTGTTCCCTCTCGTCCACGCTATGATCATATGGACCTGGTGCAGGCTACAAAATAAATCAGAATTTCTTATAAATTATTACATAAACGAAAGATTAACAATAAATTTTATGAGTATTTAATGAAAAAGAGAAATTTACCTTGTTAAAAAAAATTTCTTCACATAAAGGATAATTGTTTGCAGCATTACGTTTTCACATTTACTAGAATTATTTTTATAATTATAATTTTTTTAAAATAATACAAATGATGGTTTTGTTGAAATATCTAAAAATTTAATTACATACAGATCGGGAAATAATTTTATTGGACCATCAAAATAATTGTAGGACAAATGTCATGTAATTGTAGATTGCTAGAATCAATTTCAGTTTGACACTAAAATTGGTTCTAGCAATCTATAATTAACAATCTATAATTAATACATGACATTTGCCCTACAATTATTTTGATAGTCCAACAAAATTATTTCCCGATCTGTATGTAATTAAATTTTTAGATATTTCAACAAAATCATCATTTGTGTATTATTTTTAAAAAATTACTTGTAAAACTTTTCGTAACATTACTCATTATGCTTAAGATTCTTATGTATTTTGATGGAAAACCAAATTATTTTTGGACCTGTATTTAGCTAATTTTTCAGCAAAATCGTTCTTTTTATATATACTTTTTTTAGATATAAAAAAATTGTAATGTAATTTCTCAAATTAAATCAATGACTATGGTAAATCCTGTTTTTCCTAATTTTCGGAAAAGACAGTATGATTGAAAATGATCATCTATTCATGCGATCAATCGATAGAGCCTACTTACAGCATTGACTTCCCCCTCGTCGTACCAGACGTTTATATAATTGTGCAGCAACGCCTCATCCACGGAAATGCGTCGTTCCGGGTCGATCACGAGCATGCGCGATAATAGATCCCTGGCTTGGCTCGCTAGAAAAGGAAGTAAAAACCATGAAAGGAAGAGCCAGGGAGAGGCAAGGCAAGGCGATGACGAGAATGCGGATAATCTCGTCGTCCGCGCGCCAGAACATGCGCGTCTCGCGATCAATCTCGCGATGCAGGGCGTCGACTTGCTGACCTACTCACCTTTTAATCTATTGTGTTCTGAGGAGTCCGAGGGGAATAGGACATCCGGAAATAGCCTCTCGAAGGGATAGCCTGGATATCGTGGCCTGTTCTCTACGTAATTTCTGACGGTCGGCTGCAGTCGTTGCATGAATTCTTGCGCCGGTGTACCAAGTTGTTCTGCAGATAAGAGCAACTATCTTATTTTTATGACACAATGACAGGGAATCTACGAGATAATTGCTGTTATCCCTTATTTAACAAAAAAACAATATTAAGAAGAGTACTGTAAGATAATATCACGATTATCTTGACAATAAAAATTATTAGGAAATTATGTATCTGCTTATATTGAAAAAAGGCCATGAATCTGGTATACGCGTTAATTATTCATGAGATGAAAAATGTCACATAATTAATTAAATAATTGTGATTGCACAATAAAAAATATTAAATAATGATGTACAAATATTATTGAATGTTAATGCAAATAATTTTGCATAAATTCTAATAAAATCATTTATCATCTTATGTTTTAGTTGATTTCGACGACACATTTTCAGAATGGATTATAATATAGCAACATCATGTGGAATTTTATTTTGCATCTCTTTAATTCTATTCTATATTACAGAATATTTTACAGAATTTTATTTTATAACATTACGCGCGGATTATTATCGAAGTATCGGTTAATATTATAATAATTATTATTATCATTATGGAAAATTCGGTCTTACCAATTATTTTGTTCCACTGGTCAATGTGATCCGTACCCGGAAATAATACGCCACCGCGTATCATCTCGCCCATGATGCACCCCACCGACCAGATGTCCACATTCTCTTTGTAGCCCATGCCCAGAATCACCTAGCAAGAAAAAAAAACGAATGAGTGAAACGGATCGAACTAATTAGAAATAAATTGTGCGAAAAATTACAAGAGAATTTAACTCACCTCTGGCGCCCGATAATATCGTGTGACGACGTAGGGCGTCATCATAAATGTGGTACCAGCGGTCCTCGCCAAGCCAAAGTCAAGAATCTTTAGCGTACAGTCAGATTTTACGACAATATTGCTTGGTTTTAGATCCTATGCGAGAAACAAAGTCGAATTTTAAAGATTTATCTGAAGAATCGTGAAAGAGAAAAATAATTAAAACATCAAAAAACTAATAGTTAATATCGTAAGGAGATGCCATGCGAGCGATTAATAATAATCGCAAAGTGGCGAGTCAGTCCCTGGTCAACGCTGTTCCAGCTATTTCCAGTTATATGAATTTTAATTTGTAGCGCGTTAATTACGCAGAGAAATTCCGCAATCGTTGCGCCGCGTTCTCATTTTTAATGAGCGCGACGCCGGTTTAGCTATTCTATTATAACGTGCGGTGCACCGGGAAATTAATCGGAACGGCGGCGGTTATTTCTTTCGCCGCGGCGGGACAACAGCAACCGCGGGACTACAGTATGCAGGAATGGTCGTCGTTAATGAATCTCGTTATGGTAGATTAAACAGCGCTGCCCGTTATGCAATTTTCATCGGGGCGCAACGCGCGAATAGCTAACGTCACTTACCCTGTGGATAATGCCGGCGGAGTGCAAGTGCTTGATGCCACACAGCATTTGATAGAGGAGATACGACATACGCTCGTGGTCCAGATCCATCTGGATCACTTGGCATAGATTAGCGTCCATGAGCTCCATCACCAGATACACGTCTTGAAACTCATCCAGCGACCGTTGCGGCGTAAACGCGTTCAGAAGACCGATTATCTGCAAGGCGACAAATTGTAAATTGACGCATCAATTTTGTTTCCTTAGACAATGCTTAGATATGGTGAATAAAATTTGTCCTTTTTCTCTGATTCTTCCTCTAACTTAAATTATTCAGATCTTAAACTTCTCTCTCTTTCTCTCTTTCTCTCTCTCTCTTTCCTCTCTCGGAATTACGTGAAACTATTTACATTGTTATTCCAACGCAATTCAATACTTCGATTCTCTTAACACGGAATTAAGAACAATGGGATTAAAATAAATTGCAGAAAATTGAAACTATTAACCCGATTAAGATAAACACTTATTGGATATACTTTAATTTTAATTCTTATCACAATCCCTTAATTTATAATTCTGTTAACAACTATTCTGTCAGAAATTATTTGATGACAAGGATAAATTACAATTGTGTTGAGATAATGGCTAGAAACTACTCGCGATATACTGTTATTCGTCGCTGTAACATTTTCTCATTTAGCTCTGTGTAGCTTTCTTCCATGCATTTCTATCTAATTTAATTGGGAGGAATGACAAAGAGTTTTACATTCATTTGTATAACAATACAGTATAAAGCGCAACTACAATTCTCACGAAATAATGTTACATATCAAGACACGTACTATACATGTGTTTGATTCAACGGTAAGGTTTAAATGAGATACTTACATTTTATAGCAATTTAAGAAAATGAAGTAATATTTTTCGCAATAAATTATTCGCAGTTTTTAAGAGTTCTTAACATCAAATTAATTCTTCTAAGACACTTGTTAACATTAATATTATTAAATTGCTTGTTTATTTAATATGTGAAATTATTACTTTATAGTTTTATTCATGATTGCGTTACAAAATTGAAAAAGATTTCGCGCGGTTAAATTTACAGAATTAAATATGTATATAAATTCACACCGAAATATTTAAGCACTAAGATCCACTTCGACCGATAATAGGATTTCTCTTACTTAATTAGATTTATCCTCATTGGTCGAATTTACAATTATAATTGTTCAAAAAAAAATATTATGATATTTACAACAATGTGCATTCCCAAAAAGTATATTCGTGTCACGCACAAAGAATGGTCGCAACAGAATAAAATTAAAGAACTTACGTTTTTGTGATTGACCAACTTCATGAGTTTGAACTCTCTGTAGGCCCTCTTTGCGTGTGTCACGTTTTGAAAAGGTCTGGATAGCTTCTTGATCGCCACATTTTGAGCAGTGACGGTATCGTACGCCGCGCTGCAACAAAGATGGAGGAAAACATTCAAGATCGTTCGATACACGCTTGAACGCGCGATTTCATCAAATTAAATGCATCAAACTAAAATGAATAATTGAAAGTGAAATATTCTGTTAGTTAAAAATTTTTATCTAAATTTATTTAATTTGTGATAAGTGTGCCTATATCCTGTCCGTGTGGCACAATTTAATAAGATTTTCGATAAGATTTTCAATTTAATAAAACAATAATTATTAATTTAAATAATGATTTGATAAAAACAATTGTTTTAATAAAAAAAAACCTATTCGGATAAAAACAGAGCACACATTTATTATTAGAAAAATTTCTCGTATTAATGTAAATAAAATAATAAACTCACAGAAGTTTAATTTAAAAAAATGGAAAAATACAATAGTTACTAAAATGATATGGAGAAACTATTCCGCAAGAAAAGGTCAAAGAAATGTGCACCAAATTTTCAGCGATGACTGCAGCAAATTTAATATGTTATCTTGGACGTGATATAAGCTCTTTGATACAAAATAAAATACTATAAGGTAGGAAGACAGAAAGTGGAACAGACAGAAAAATAGATACACTCACAGCGTATAATCTGTATAAGTCGTGGATTTTACTCACCATACGATACCCTGAGCGCCGACGCCACGCGGAACGACGTCGACGTATCTCTCGGGTATGCAAAGCTCGGTGTCGCCGAAAATGTGACGACGATAGCCGCTCCGAATGTTGCTCGATTCCGTCGCGTTCGTCGCCATTACCTCTTTTTAAATGTTCTTTAATTCTCCCTTTCTCTCCCTGTTTCTCTCTCTAGCTCTCGTAGCGGCTCTCGTGCCTTAACTTAGGTAGTGTATATCACAGCTTTAGCTACCAAACCAATGACACAAGGACTACAGGAAACGAAAACGATCAAGCCGATCGCGGCAACGGAGAAAATTTATCGTCGTCAGGTTTCGACGACACTTGCGAAAATACATTTTGTACAATGATTAAATGGCGCAAGTTACGAGTTCACGGTGGAACTCCATTTATTTTGTTAATATCACAATTGATTGAATAAGAAAAGAAGAATTCGCACAATAATTGACATCATTATTAATTTGCGTTAAACAATTAGGAAGTTTATACAAATATTTATATCAATTTTAACTCCTATTTTGAAAATATCTTTTTTAATTGTTATTAAAAACTTGTTAGTCTTCCAAATCCATTTATATCGCAAAATAAATCGCCCAAGAACTTAATTAAAATATAATACATCTATGACAACAGATGACGAATTTAATTTTATTATTTATCGCGAGCATAGGAACTTGCTGAAAGATATTAAATTATATTTTGCGCCTTGCGTTGCAAAACGTGTCGTGTTTCGCGAAACATAATTTTTCTCCGTCGACCGCCACAACAACGTCACTGACAGCATTCTCAAAGGACAAACGAGCATGATGTATAACTGTTGGAACGAGCTCGAGTTAAGCCCGTCGTTCCACCTGGCAATCCTTCAAAGACCTCTCTCTTTTTCTCTTTTTTTCTCTCGATTTTCCTTCAAGAACAGCGTCGCGAGAATTCATGCTTGATTATCGGAACCATCCGTACAATATAAAGCAGTTTTTTTTTTCAATACAAGATATTCTTGTGACATCAGTAATTTGCGCCAATGTAAATCGCGAGTAAATCAATGGTGCGAGAGAGGATGGATCCAAGAATCATGCAATAAGGATAAGCAAAATAAAAGAATATAAAGTCAAATTAAAATTGTTAATAGGATTGCTGCGATACAGTTGAGAAGTTCTGCACTGTATAGCTATTGTAGTAAATTATACTTTATGTATATAAAAATTATATTTTATAGATATATATAATTCAGAAAATATGGATATATATGTGTGTATATAAAAGTTTTATAAAGATGAAATAAAAAATCAAATGTGCATAAAAAAGATTGAAATAAATAGTTTATCAAGCCACAAGTATGTTATTAAGTTTCTTATAAGAAACGATAATTTTATAATTCTATAAAACTATTAATTTTAATTTTTAAATTTTTTAACATCGTTAAACATTAAATTAGTTTGAACTTATTAATTTTTTCAATGATTTTTTTTCACTTCAGGTGTCAAATTACATCGTAAAAGACTTCGATTTTATGACTTAAAAATACTTCGTAGTTGTGGCTCGTTAAACGGATGCAATTTACGGATTTAATTATCAGTCAGACCAAACTGGAAAAATAACGAGCGGTACCAGAAATATGCTGCTAGAAAGCACATGAAAGGCATGCGGATGTTTCATCGTATAATCGTAAATATAGAGATGGTTCTTCACGAACATTACCTTCGTCCTACCTTTCAAAATGTCATGTTCGTCTCCGAGATCGTTTCCTCATAAGAGAAATCACATTCGACGGTCGGTTAAACGCGATCAAACGAACTCCCTCTCGCTTCTACTCAAACATTTCTGTGTGTCTTACAACTTTAGAATAATGGTAAAAGCCACCGGGCATATTCGCACAGATTTCAAGAAATCATTAACCTTCTCTCTCCGAGGAATTCTGTGACTTCAAAGCCACGGACATATATCTGAACTTTTTACAATAAATTTACGTACAAATTCTAACGCTTCTACAAAAATGAAGTAAAAATTGCAACACTATAAATTTAAGATGATCTTTTCTTAAAACCATAATAATAAAAAAGATACAGTTCAAAACAAACAAGTCGATATAACAGTAATTTGACCTACATTTTTAAGAAATTAACAAGAAAAATAATTTCAAAGTAGAAACCAAAATTTAGATTTGATTTATCGAATTTTTCAAAATGTTTTACCTTAATTTTACGTTGTATTTAAATTTAATTATTTTAATGATTATTGAAAGTCTTAAAATATATCTGATATATATATATTGATATTTTCATAAATTCTTAATGATACTTTAGTAGACCGTATAAGGAATTAATGAATTTCCTTTCATGTAAACCATTTCCTTTGTTTTATTTGAAATAATTTCAGAATATGCATTCGTCTCGATACGTCGAATTTTTCAGAGTATATTTTATTTCCAAGAAATGCTACTAACTCTAAATACTCTTCAGTGGCATTTTACCATCGTAGCAATATCAAAATACTTTTCGTAACTGTGAATTTTTATGGTTACTTTCATAAGAGCTTCAACATTTTCTTAGTCATCAACATTTTGCAATATTATATTGAAATTAAAAGGATAATGCCTGATTAAAATATTCTTTAATTTTATAAGATAATAAAATTTTTTAATATTAGCAAAAATTATCTTCGATGTTCCTGATAACGCTAGAATTAATGTGTAGGTCACAGATTCCTCCGTGGATAATATCCGGCCGTCTTTAGCCGATTTCCTTTTGCATCCTGACCTACCTTCCGTGCACACGAAATCAACCGTCCTTTTCGAGAGCAACTCGCTTCTCGAGAGGCGTGACAAAACGAAAAGGCGTCTCGCATATTTCCCGTAATGGACTATGCCACGGCAGAATTTTTATCGAAAACCGATATCCGCATTCCCTTCGTTCGTCCATTCGTTCGACTTACCTGCATGCTACGGCCACCATGTATTGTTCGAGATTGCGCTTTCTCGGATAATGCAGTATTTCAGTTCCTATCGAACGTTAGAAAGGAGAGACACGTATGAGGCACCGAGAAAAACGATCCAAAAAACGATCATCGTGATAGACCATCGTTTACTCGATCAATAATGTTTGCTATGAATTTCAACAATCTATGAGTTCGGGACATAAACCGACCATCACACTAATGCTAGATCGTTAAGGACATTCTCCGACTGCAGTTGCTCAACTTAATAAGCACATTAGTGCTCATCATTATGAATATTTTTATGAAAATTTATTTCATTTTTATACAGTATAAAATATTCCATAAGTGTTTTTATACAAATTAATGTTTTTATACAATATAAAATGCCTCCTGCCTTCGCTACTGTCGCCGGTCGAAAAAATAACGATTTTACTTACTTTGTTATTTGCTTTGCTCAATGATTTCTTAAAAATGAATACCGGAAGTCGATTCAGATAAATTTTATATTATTCCTTGTGATATTAAGTTTTATGTCTTATTATTTCAAAAAATTAAAAAAAACTTTTTTAGTGAATAAAAAGATCACTTTCGAATAAACTTTAGATAGAGATCCTATGTATATATATTTTAAACACTTCAACTTTAAAGTGGAATATCTCGATTTTTAATCCTGCTCCGGGTATTGAGTTTTAAAGCACATATATTCAGGACTAAAACAAGCTTTTTCTGTGAGTTCCAGAAAAATCTAAAGAAAATGTATTTTTTTCGAGAACATCCTTAATAATCGGAGGAAGAGAGAAAAGTGGAAACAATGGCTATTTGCGAAATTATCAGATCTGCTGGAAGAACATATTAAAAAGTATAATAACCTATCATTAAGTCCTCTTCCTACTTTAATGAAAACTTGAGAAAATCAATGTATTAAACTTGAGAAACTCAAAACTTAAATTTTTCTTAAGTTTGTAAAAAAAAATAAATTATAAAATGCAGAGAATATTCTAATTTTGCTAAAACGTTAAAAGATGAATTATAGTAAACGTTCACAATATCACAAAAGACAAATCATATTTAAATTCAATGTTTTATGAGTTAATTCATATTATTTAAAAAATATAGAATATAAATATATATAATATGAAACAGTATTAAAATAAAAAAAAACAGGATATTCTGTATTACTTTATAATAGTTTTAAATTTCGATTTCAAATCCTTAGTCACAATTTCTTTTCTGTTGGTGTATTTCCCCTTTCTCTATCTATTTATTTCTTAAATCTCTTCTCTCACTGCAATAGCTTTATCTATTACCTTGAATTGTTGCGTAAATACCGCTCTAAATACCTTCTAGATATGAAGGGAACATGACGGCATCTATTCAGTGCTCGGATATTACAAGAAAAAGAGCGCCATCGATTTAATTCGTCTCGTCTAAAAATCGGATATCGACGGCAAGACGACGAGGAACGCCGTGAAACTGTCAACGAGGTCGATTTTTCCAACATTACGTCGTCGGCTTACAAGGAAGGGGCGTTGTGCCTCTCGTTGCTCTCCGTCGCCGGAAACTCGCATACTCTCGCGAAATCCTGACATCTCTTTTCATTCTGAATCGAATTCCCCGATTTACTCTGCCTCTCCCCGCTTACTTTCCTCCGGAGACAAACGGTGTCTCTCATTTCCTTTATCGTTGATCTCGGTTGGTCCCCGAGCGCGAATAAGAAAAATCGTAGTTAACCCTCTTTTTGATATATATATATATATATCGATATAGCAATACAACGTACGCTCGGCTTCAAATCCACTTCGAAACTTTTACGTCTGATAGATATCGGCATTGTTATCGATTGTATACGCAGCTTGAAAGAAGGTAGATGATGTTATTTTATCCAGGAAACGGATATATCATTGGGACATATCACATCGGAACGTTATAAACATCGCTATAGATAAAATTTTTCATTGCGATTGCGTATTCGATATTGGATTGAAACTGGATCAGTAGGCTTTTCTTGAATTATTTTATATATTATTTTTTATTTTCGTAAAGTCGTTAGAATTGTATGGGATTTCACTGCGATTTTGCTGGGATTTCTAAGGAAGATTCGTCGATTCTCGGTACTCATATGTGTCTCTCCTTAATTCTAATAGACCAATAATTCTAAAAAAAAAAAAAACAAACAAACTGTGAAATATAATACAGTAATTATCGAACCACTCACCAGACTATCCCCTGCGCGCCCGATCCGATAGGCTTGAGGTTTTGGTAGCGCTTCAGGATGGTGAACTTGGTGTCCCCGACCTCGACCGTGTAGAACATGGCGGATAGCCGGGTTGTCATGTCAGGCCCCAGGTAAGGCATGCGCCTCGGTGTTCGTCTCTCCTGCTGCTGCACCTGCGCCGCCGTCTGCACCTGCACACCGTCCACCCCGCTGGAGCACTCCTGGTGCGCACGACGGGGACTTACGCTCTTAGCCACTTTGGACGTGAGATTTTCAGGGCACCCACGGAATAGTAGCACTGACAATGCTGACGGGTACTTCCACTGGGCTGCGCTGCACCTGCAAATGCCACGTCAGACCGCTCCTGCGGCAGATCGCGCCTCAGCACGTTGCTGCCCGATGAGTCCCTACGTTCCCCAGAATTGTCTGCAACAAGAAAAAAATCAAGACGAAAGTTCATATAAATCCGTTATTTTATTGACGATTTAAATTTATTATATATATTATTTATTATATTTTGTCGCTGTTAAAAAGTATACAAATCCTCAAATGATGATAATTCACGATGTACCAAAATAGATGGACTGAAAAAAAGTGTATTGTGTGTTTCTAATATCTGATTTTATATTATCATTTAATTGTATATTATCATAATTATGGTTATTATTGCTAGTCATTTTTGGGATAACCATATAAAATATGATTGGTCCAAAGATAACTACAAAATAAACATAAACAGTTGAATTATAATAATTATATAATTATTTTATTAACAACTTTTTTATTTTAATAGTATTTATATAATAATAATGACAATTATTTATAGTCGTTTTTTCAGTGCCAATTATACAAGGTGTCCCATTTTAATGTCTCGTCTCAAATAACTTTTTTATTTCTGATCTTAAAAAAAATGTTTCAGACAAAAGTTGCTTGAACTTCATGAGATCTTCAAGCAACTATTCAAGGTAATGACATCATCTTATGTCCTCTTCAAAGCCATATAATTTTGTCTGAAACATTTTTTTAAGATCAAAAATAAATAAGTTATTTGGGGGTGGGACATTAAAATGGGACACACTGTATATTTATTACATTATATTTGTTGATAGAACTATACATATACATATTATTATTATTATTATTACTAACATTACGGAAATAATAAACATAATAATAATCATAGTTATATTTAAATATAGTCACAAGTACCACAAACTTTTTCCTCAGTGCAGCTGTTACTGTTTATTTTGATTTATTCATAGTACTTTGGCAACAGTAGAACAGCATTTTGTTATCAAGAAATTCAAAAAGGAGAAAAAAAGAGATCTGAAAGTGTGACATGCATTTCACGTGAGAATTTCACAATCTAATTATAAATTATAATTTCTCTCAAGGACGCGACAAAATGCACGCGACGCAATATGATGCGATATTTGCAACATAAACAATCGAAACTGTATCACTTGTGCAAGTTTAATTAACGTCATTTACACAATAAATAATATTGCGTACAATAAACAAGCATAAATTAATGTCAAGAAAATACAAAAGTCAAAGGTAGAAAATGAGTTAGACTTTCCATCATTAAAGAGAATTATTCTGATAGGAAAGTAGAGCTCCAATTCAAATCGAATTATCATATATATTGTATTTGGATTTAGATGAGAATGAAACATCAGGTGTGTCTAAATAACATGACCCGTCGTTAATTAGCGATTTGGAATAATTCGCCATGTTTTGATGCATTCAAATATATTCAAATGACTGCTAAAAACCATTTTAACATTCTCATGGTTCAATATAAAGCCAGTTAGGACTCTGGCTTATTCTTTAGATCAAGTATCAACTCCAGTGAAAATCCACTTAGGATCTAGCTAAGATTCAGACAGAATCCAGATTGAATTTAAAACTGGATCTAACTTGAATAAATTTTACATTAGAGAGCCAGACAGAGTCCTCTTCAAAATTGATTATGCAATATACAGTGAGTGCAAAAAATATTCGTACAGAGAAAATATTTTTCAAAAAAACTTTATTTTTAAAAAGTATAAAATATTATCCAGAAATGAGACATCGAATTGATGTCGAATTGATATAAATACGATGATTTCAATTTGACATCGATTCGACGTTTAATTGACGATCATTTCTTTATTTATAAAGAATAAAATAGACTGTATGTTTCTTAAAATTGTATATACCAAAAAGATGTGTATTAATTATACAAAATATATCATCTAAAAATAAGCGAAAATTAAAAATTGTATTGTTTGAATGCTCAAAAAGTATTCGTACAGCCGAGAAATTTAGCTTTTAAAATCAGATGCGAAGCTCGTTTGTTTATTAGAACAGAATGTATTCATTGTATAAAATTGCTAATTAATGTTTGTTTTCTACAAATAAGACTTCTTTTATAACAAATTTCCTTTCCCTGAACTTTTTGCTCTCACTGTATATATTCATTTCTTTAAGTATACTTTTATGATTAGTATTAAATTATAGTTTTACAATCAGCATTTTTGAAAAGACAAGTAAGAAAGACATTGTAGTCTATTCCTATTTTATAATTTTTATTTTTAAAGATTAGAAAAAAAATTATCACTGAAAATGTATGAAAACTATATATATATATATATATATATATATATATATATTCATATGTTTATTTCAATTCATCTTACATATCCTACATTAATATTTATTAATGTTCCTATAAATGGAGCTATTAATAATTATCACATATGATATTATTAATCATATAATAATAGGATAATTTATTCGATAAGATCGTAATTATTGAGGAAAATTGTAATACCGATGCTTGCGAATTTTTTTTTGTGAAATACCGATTGTTTACGGACATTTTTTGCTTAAAATTCGAACCACGTTCATCACGTCAGCAATACAGATCAGGGGATAGAAACAAAAGCTGTTATTTTTTAAACTCGAAAGTCATCCACTCGTCAATCCATTATCTATTGTTCTTGATTGAAGTTTGCGAGAATCGCTACTGGAATGAAATGTGTATTTATTAACAAAAATTATGCTATCAAACGAAATACAGTGCAATTGCACAGATGGAAACGTATCTTGATTTCTTACATATAATACATTTTGATTTTTTCCAATAAATAAAAAAGAATATATTTATATATTTAATTATACATTTAATAGAAAATGATAAAAAAAATGTTAGATTATTACTTGTAATGCAGTAAGATAAGATAAGATACTCAAAAACTTGCACCTTATCTTCATACATATATCTTTTATAAAAATAATATTAAAACATTTTTATGCGGTTGAAAAGTTACTATTGCACCACGAAAACTATTAATGATCGATGCTTTCGATACAATAGAATTTAATCACTGTCACTGTGTAGATAAAAAGTATGGGCAACTAAGTAACAGTCGTATTAATTTATACCAGTAGTATTAATTTAAACATTCTAAATTATGTTAAACAATCGATGATTCATGGTACCCCATGACTCATGCCCCGGTTTCCCCTATTACAAACTACAAGCAAGAGGGAAAAAAGCAGATTCCTTCAAATCAATTAAGACATAGACCAGATTGATTTTGACATTGTAATTCAATGTTATATAATAAGATACTAATATAAAATTTAATAATTTTTAATGAAATATTAACACAATAAAAGTTATTATTATAAAAATGTTTTTATGTTTTAATAAGATAATCATTTTGTTAATAATAAAATGGTATTAATAATAGTACAACTTCTTATTAAATATACTCGCCTAAAATATGTTAAATAAAACAGCTAACGATCAATAAATTCTAAGAATATAATATAAAAATTAATTAAATGAACACATTAAGCTTTAATAACTTATAATATTAAAGCTGAAATAGGAGTTTCGAGTGCAAATACTAATCACGAACTAGACTAGAGCACAGAACGGAGATGGAGTGTCAAAGAGAATATTTCTAACTAAAGGAGAACAGAACAAGCAAAGATGTTTTCATCAGTTTGCAGAAACTAGCACTCCATCAGCGCAAACCACAGCGAAAGGGAGATGAAGAGAGACGCGAATCCGAGGAATCCCATCAACGGACGCAGCAGCGACAGCTGTATAAATCGTTAAAGATAATAGTGCCTGTCGCTGAGACATGTGATAGGGAAGAAAGGTGACTATCTCTGTGGCATCTTACTCCGAGTGATCTGGGTCGTCTTGCTTCTGTATATAGTTGTCGAAGACTACGACTATAGAAAAGCCAGGATCGTTGCAACGTCCGTCATCGTGTCGCTTTTCAATCGGTCGATAGGGCGAACACCCTCTCGAGCGAATAAACAATCGAGCTTTCAAGCTTTGTGTGTAATGTGGCTAACCCAATTGCATCTCGATTCAGTGTTTGGATAATAAGAGCTCCGCCTTGTTTAATTATCAGGCATCGATTAATAGAGAGAAAGAGAGAGAGAGAGAGAGAGAGAGAGAGAGAGAGAGAGAGAGAAAGAACGAGAAAATTGATAAAAAATATACATGCAAGTGACTTACAATACGTAATAAAAGAAAAATCAATTAAGTCCACTTTTATTTAAAAAAAAGTAACAGGTCAGTGCCGGGAAATCTATTAATCATCAACTATCTATATTTAACAAAACAAGTCCTCCAAGTCTATAACATACATATAAATGTTTTCCTTTTTGATGTTAAAATATTATAATTTTTTTCACTTGTTAAATTACTTTTAATACATGACTTCTAACTATTTAAATATAATATACATAATTTTTTTTATTAATTATGATAATTCTGATTATTTATGATTTATAATAATGTTGAAAAAAATGACAAATTATTAGATTGCAATATAATGTTAACCATATCGCAACTTCGTTGACATGACACCTCCGTAGCAGCAGCGAATACTTTGGTGGGCGTGCTTTCTTGAGGGCCGATATCTCTTCTAGCACCTCGGGATTCCCCCAATTATTTATAGCGACTGTCGCAGACGTAGACCGACAACGACAACAACGACGACGACTACGACGACGATGGCAACGACGCCGCCGCCGACGCCGCAGTCGTATTCTTCGTGGTTGTCTGCATGGGCCAACCACCTTCTGTCGTTCGCCACCTGCTATCAATTACGTAAACACGTTGATGAACGTAAACACGCTCAATTAAAACACGGAGGCTTCAAAAATACTTTTGTGAAGAAAATCCCAAAAATCATCGAGACCAAAAATCATCATTCGGTCAACACTTGTAAAATGTAAAAACGTTCGATCGAAATCTACGAAGATTTCAAAAGTTACGAGGATTATTGAAATGTAGGTGGAACTCGTTTGATCACGTTGCGATTGCCAAGAC